GTGTGTGTGTGTGTGTGTGTGTTGGAGGGGGGGGTATGTTTCTACTAACAGCAAGTACAATGCTCCTCAGGTGCAAAGCAGCCTGGTGTGTTTAAGGAAAAGCAAGAAAAGTTGTGTGGGTGGGGTGGTGAGGAGCAGGAAGGGTCAGAGATGCAGCTGACGAGTCAACTCGCCACTGGGTTATGGATGGCCTTTAGGCTTTGCAAGGACTACAGAGTTTATTCTAAGGGAAGCTTCTGGGTGATTCAGAGATGGGAAGTAATATGGTTTAGTGCAGGGGTTGGCAAAGTTTTGAGACGGAAGAGCCAATCCTGTCTCTTACAACGATTTAAAAATTATTCGAGAGCCATAAAACAAAGGAAATCACCATTATGTGAATAATATCCTTTAAAAATTTTATAAATGAAACTATGATAGTTTTATTTTCATTTTCAATTTTACTTCAGAGGCACTTGCACGTACCCAAAGAGCCGCAGTTTGCGGACCCCTGGGCTAGTGTACGTTTTAAAAATACAACTCTCCCTGGAGAGTAGCCTGGGGGCTTGGAAGCAAGAGGTTGCCAAACTGTCACTGTGACAGTTCCAAGCAGTGTCGAGGAAGATGGTGGTGGCCTGGTCCAGGGTTTCAGCAGCAAAGGTGGTGAAGACAATGGAGCTGGGATATGATTTACAGGCAAAGGAAATGCGACCTAGTGACATGATCATGGGTATGAGAAAAAAGAAACTGAAGGTGACTCTTGGATTTCTGAACTGAGCTAGTTGCTCTGATTTAGATGTGAGGTGCCAGTTAGCTGTATGGATGGCAGGTCATAGGTGTGTGTCTGTGTCCAGAGGTCAGGACAGAAGTCCAGGCTAAAGAGAAGACATCTGAGAGTACATCAGCAGACAGGAGCAGGGCAGCGGTCTGCAGACGGACTGCCTGACACTGGACCTGGGTCCCCACTCAGCAGCTGTGCAACTATGGGAAAGCAAATATGTAAGATGGAATGATGACACCTACTTCACAGAGGGGCGCTCTGAGGACTCAGTGACCTCATGCACATAAAGGTTTACCGGCGCACATAAATGCTCAACAGATGAGTTATTAGCTGCATCATCAACCGTGGGAACACGGAAGGTAAAGCCACAGAAGAGCATGAGATCACCTGGGGGAACGGATATGGAAACAGCCAATGTCGGTGGTCACACACCATGAAAAAGCAGCCAGTGAGGTCAGAGGAAAATGAGAAGCGGAGAGAACAAAGTGTCCCAAGAAGTAAAAAGCAGGCAACTGTGTCAAACGCCAGACAAGATTTAGTAAAATGAGGACTGAGGAAACACGCCCCGATTTGTCACCACGGAGATCTTTGGACCCTGCTAAAAGTGGCGTCAGTGATAAGGTGGAAACAAGTCTGACTAGAGTGAGTTCAAGCAAGAATGGGGAGAAAATACAATAAATGCTGGGAGGTGGACAAGTGGGACATAAGTACCAAAAACTCCCTCAGGAGAATGTCTATAAAAAGTTACAGAGAAACGGAGTGACAGTTCACAGGGAACATGGGACTTTGTGGAAACTGGTGAAATGAAGCATGCATACTAACAGGAATAACCCAGGAGAGAAATGGATGCTGTAAAAGAGAAGGGATAAGTGTACAATAAGTCCCTGAGGAGGGGACGCAAGATGGAATGCAAGGACCAAGGAGCAAGGACGGTTCATCCACCCACAGGAGGGAAGGGCAAGCACAGGCATGGACGCGCGAGGGATGCCGCAGAGCCAGAGGGGGATAAAAGGGGCGTTTTCTTCTGATTGCTTCTTTTTCTCAGTGAAACAAGGTCTTCACCTGAGAACAAGGACGGCCACTTTTCATTCCCTGAGGAGTCTGGGTGTAAACTTTCAGAGCACCCTGTGCTGTGCCCTCATGGCATTTGCCACAAATGCACTGTGTAACTACTGGGGTGACCGTCTGTCTAATGGCTGTCTCCTCCACAGCTGTGAATTTCAGAAGGCCGGAGGTCTGTCCGTCACCACGGAATCCCCAGCATTTGGAAGCACACAGCCAGCCGTCTTCTAGCTCAGTCAGTCATGTATTGATCTACTAGTTACTGGTTCTCAAAGTGACTATCTTCTAGATCAGGGGCCGGCAAACTACGCCTGTTTTTGTAAATACAGTTTTATAGGAACACAGCCCTATCCGTACTTCTGCATATTGCCAAAGGCTGCTTTTCCGCTACAACAGCAGAGTTGTGTAGTTGCGGCAGGAGACCACAAGGCCCACAAAGCCTAAACTAGTTACCACCACCTGGCCCTTTACAGAAAGCTTGCCAAGTCCTGTTCTGGACCAACGGTTCTCCGAGATGGTTGCTGATCCAGCAGCATCCGCATCACCTGGAACCTACCAGAAACGCTAATTCTCAGGCCCCACCCCAGACCATTCGAATCAGAAACTCAGGGGCTGGGCTCAGCAACCTGCACTCCCATAATCCCCCCGGGAATTCTGAGGTACGCCACAGTTTTAGAACCACTCTTTCGGGGGACGTGTACAGATGAATGGTGAAGCGGACAGGGTGAGTTTATATTCCAGGTGAGTTTACCTTCTCATGGAAGTACCAAGCAAGTACACGGACAACCACAGGTCATCACGGTGAAATCAGCGCAAGGTGGCCTGGGGCCGGTAAAAGGGCATGTGAGCGCAGATCCAGGTTCGGAAGACAAGTTAAGCACAATGAGACAGGATTCCGGTCTTGAGAAAGTGCAAAAGCTGAGGTGAGAACAAACTTAGCGTGGTCAGGGAACCGAAGTCCAAAGTGCCTGCAGTGTGACAATGTTCAGATATGAAGAGGGAGAGGCAGGAAAGAAGCCAAAATGGAAAGCCTCGTAGGCTACTTAAGAAGTTCAGATTTTAGACAGATACAGACACCAGGTTGGTGGTTACCAGAGGGGAAAGGAGTGGGGAGAAGGTGAAGAGGGTAAAAGGGGTCAAATATATGGTGACGGAAGGAGACAAGACTTCGGGTGGTGAGCACACAATTATACAGATGTCATATCATAAAGCTGTACACCTGAATTTATATAATGTTATTAACCATTGTTACCCTAACAAATCTAATAAGAAATCAAATCAAATCAAAAGAGAAGTTCAGATTTTAAAGTGCAACGGGAAGCCACTGGAGACCATTGATATGATCTGACTTTTGTTTTTAAAAGATGATGCTGGTTGCTATGCAGACAATGGCTCAAAGGGGTCAAGAACAGATGCAAAGAGACAAGCTAGGAGGCGACTACAGTGCTCTAGTGAGAGATGATGGAGCTACAATTAGACAGGGCATCTCTGAAGCAGGTGCTGTTTAAGGTACAGTCAGTGTCACCATTCAGGGTTTTCTGGTTAGGCGGTTTTTGACATTCAAGGCTTGGCTCCTTTTGCGAATACTGCCTCCTCTTTTCAGGGCAGATTACCAAGCAGTAGCTGGAAGGGAGAGAGCCACGCCCCAGTTCTTATCAACACTGCAACGTGTCACCACCAGAAAGCAGCACTGTGCAGACACCATCTCAGACCTATCCCTCTAGGGATCCCACACACCTATTCTCAGACCTGAGTGGCGTCTATTTTCTCCCCGTCTCCGTCTGGGTCTCGTCTGCTTTACTTTCTAACCACGATCCAAGCAAGGGCCTTCATCACCTTGTGGGTTGCAACCACAGGGTTGATCCCACCTGCAAACTGATTTGTTGATTCTACCTGCAAATAATTTATCAGTCATTCCGTCTCTCCTTTTTCTCTGCCTTTGTCTGGAAAGCAAAGTTTCTCATTTAGTTCATGCTGTGACTTGACAATCGGAGCCCTGGGCTCTGAATTTGCCGCCTTCCAACCCAACCTTTGGCCATTTCTAAAAGATGAACAAAATAGTGCAACCTCCCTGTATAAAGTCATCTGGTAGCTTCCCATCACATTCAAGATAAAATCCCAACTCCTTAGCATGCCCGGATCTGGCCCTTGGCCACCCAGCTGCCTCCCCTCTTACCACTCCCCGACACACAGGCGGTGTTCTGACCACCTCAAGTTCCTCACAGTCCCCTGGACCTGACATGCGTCCTCCCTCCGCCCGCCATTCTTCACTTGGATAAATTCCCAGTTGTACTTTGGGACTCTGCTCTTGGCTCTGGGCTTCCTCCTTCAAAAACCTTTCCCCACTCTCCCCATCCTCAGCCTGTGACACAGCTATCACTGCACATATCATACTGCACTGGAATCACCTGTGTCACCCTAGCAGTGGTTGGGTCTCGGCAACTTTTGCCCCCGTTTCTCCAATAGCACAGAAATACAAAGTACCTGAAGGGAAAGAACGTGAGGCCTACAGCAAATCAATCCAAGCATAACAACTCTCTCAGTTCCAAACTGTATATTAAAAACTCACGGGGAAAAATATCTCATGTAGGTTTTGTATTCTACTCCACAATGTATGATTGTGCTGTTTTTCAACATAAAAAAATGTCATGTCCAATAGGACTGATGGTTCACTCCAGAAAAGTCTTCTGCTTTGTCCTGTTTCACCTCTAGCACACTCCCAATATTCTGGGTGGAGAAAAGCAGTGGTTAAAGGTAAAAAAGAAAAGCAAAACAGTTACTCAAAATTTTTTAGAAATTTAATTCCTCTCCATATGAAGGGAACTACATACCCTTTCATTTTTTAAAACCTTCAAATCAAGATTATATCATAAAATAATTGAAAACACAGTTTAAGGTAAACTCAAACAAATCAGAAAGTAATATTTGCTATCCCCTCGTTTATCTTATTCTAGAAAAGTTTTTATTTAAGTAAAATGTAGCATCAAGTAGGGGCTAAAGATCCCATTTAAGATAGAATTTTGATAAGCAGAAAAGGGTAATGAAAGCAAAAGCTTAATTAGTTTGCAACCATCTTCAGATGCAAAAGCAATACATAGAAGCCAAGGTCAGGTCCATTAGCATCACCTTGTACTTCTCCCGCCTCCCATGTCAGAGAGAAATCACACTCTTAAAAGACGACTTCAGCTTTTATTGAATGAGAACTTTATTTTTTGAACATTACAAACTCTCCCTTTCTGATAAGGTAGATCTTACACTCAAAGAAAGACAATCTTCAACCACTTTTTTAGAGAAATTGGGGGAGAAATCCATTGTTCATCAACAAGACTTTACAGTAACGATGGAAGGAAACCAATACATTTCACGACCTAGAGTGGTTCAAACTAAGTATCTAGAGCAGATTTTAAAATCTCAGAAAGATGACATAAACTGGACAATTATGAAATTGCTCAGAAGGCAGAATCTGGCTCTAACAGTACAGAACAAATGCTTGCTTTGCATTGTGCCTGAAGTACACCAGGACACGGCAGCTCTCTCCTCCCAATCCTGTATGAATCGTTAAGGCAAGTCTACAAAGGACCAGTAAGGCACAGGGACACAGCAGCAGGCCAGAGGAAATGGACATGAATTCCTGTAGTCTAACAGCCTTTAATACAGACACCGGTGTGGCAAACTCTGTGTGTTGTTTGTTTCAGCATCAGCCTGCACCTAAAGCACTAGAGGTTACTTCAAGTCACTTCATGGAATAAACAATAGTTCACTGCATTTCCAGTGAAAGGAGAAACAATTCCAAGAGCTAAAAAGAGTTAGAAGCAAAAATTAAGGAAAAGCCCTTTGGCTTAGGCTTATTAGATCAGCAGGATGTCTGTAACTCTCCAGGAAATACCATTTTAGTTTGTGAAACTATACCAATTAATCAGAACTCCTCTACATTTCCATTATTGGCAGATTATATCATTCCACAGCAAAAACACTTTTTTTTCCCCCCGTTTTGCTACGATCATAGCTAGGAGTGCTTCAGTAACATAATAATGGTTCATGACGACCATTTCTCTTTGGTCTTGTTCCACTGAAGCTTAAGGAGAGAGTGTGTCGAATTAAAAAACAAACAGCAACACAAGCTATGCCAATAGCACACAAAGCATGGCACTAGTTACTTACTTAGTAAAGGGTCAGTGAAGTGATTTTATCCACACGGTTATTTCCTAAGACAAGCATATGCTTTGAAATGCATGGAGGGACATACTTGTCTATCAATCAGACCTTGGTTCATTTCTTTCTGGTCATCTGAAAATAAGGGGTCCTGGATCAGCAAATGAAGCACAAACCTAATTCTTTGGAGTATCTGGGTACAGTGCTTATCACAACCCACATTTGTAAATGAAAATACTACTTTTCATTCTACAGTGTCGCCTGGTCACCAGTAGAAACTCACTCCCATTCTTTAGTGGGAAAGGGAGGCAGGCGCCTGCCCACGATGAGATGAATAGGTCACCTTAAAAATGAAAATATATAGACTTATCCTACATCATCTCAAGTTAGGGAAATGAGAGCTCACTTCTGCTCCAGAGCGGAAAGCTGAGTAATTATTATTATTATTGTTAATTGTAGAAAATGAATTTTTCGCAAGAAAGGAATAGTTAACATCTATATCTAAGAAGAATAAAGGAGGACAACTGGGGTTTACACAAGCTGCCATGAAGTGGCTGATGTGAAGTAGCCTGCCGAGTCCATTCAGACCACATGGTACAGGAGGCTGGCATCTCAATTAGTCAACCCATTACAAACATCATTCACCATGTCTCACCTGCCAGGAAACCTCAACTGAAGACTAGGATGGCTCTAGCTATGAAAGCAAAAATATCCTCCAAAGTAAACTGGAAGCAGCTTTCTGTGTATTAAGAAAGCATTTTCTTAGAAGCAAAGAAAAAATACTATGATTAAAAATAATATGTTCTAATAAAGCATAGTGCCCACACACAAAGGAAAAAAAAAAACCTATATAATCACAATCTTTCCGGCTTCCTTGAACGCTGATTGCTATCTTGGCTGCCATCTTCCAACCGTCCGGAAGACAGCATTTGACAGATGGCTTAGTGTAACTCAGGACTCTTCAACAACATGAAGTCAGGCAATCTCACAGACGCCTCTGGCTCTTCACATCGCCTCTTTAAACAGTTTCTGACAAGTTCAAGAGATGAGGAAGGATGTAGAAAACTTTTCTTTTCTTCCCATTAAAATCCATCCTTTTTAGTGGATTCTCCCGTGAGGCAAACTGAGACAACACAGTAAAATGAGGTATTGATACATTAAATGTTCGTCGGGACTCCTCTTAGCTTGCTGGAGTATCTGTGAGCGTTATTACTGGTAACCAAAGAAGAGTTCATTACACACCATCTCCTTTATTCTAAACCCAACCAAAGTTAACCTATTTCATTATCTACCGAAAACAAGCAGCACTCAGCCATATGCTGTAGCCTTCTCCCCATGTCCCACCCCTTCCCTCTCTCCAGCAAATAACCTCCCTATAAACTTATATATACTGCTCAAAGCACCATACAAGTATTCTTCTGGTACTTCTGTTGGCATGATTTTGGTGTATAGTTCAGTGCATGTGTGTGTGTGTGAGAAACAGAATGTTAACTTTCAAAATGCAAACCACAGACAGAAATCCGAATATGGTGCCAATTTAAATATTTCAGTATCATGACAAATTTCATACATATACTGATACAGTCAGGAAAAAAAAACAAAAAACCCTACTGCATCAGTTCTATGTAAATGCAGAAGAATAAGAAGGCGTGGAAATTCCGTGGAAGATGGAAAGCTGTGTACTATAAAATGTGTCTGAAAACATTTAGTTTGGGCTTCTGAAAAGTCCCATTACATTTTTAAAAAGGACTGACATAGATGAGAAATGCAAAGGTGCGTGCACATAGCTGCATGTAATTGTTTTTAAACTAACATTTATGGGGAAATAATAGACGTATAATTCTACATGTCAAATTCCCCTTTTGAATGTCTGCATAAACCAAAAGGCAGGTGTTTCTGGATATCAGATCAATGTATAGGCATTATAAAAACATAGCAAACTCGCACCAAAATAAGACCAAAATAAGTATGTGCAAGTAAGTATATTATCTAGGCACCAAGAAAGGAGGGAAATCTCAGAAAAAATGGGATTTCTCACTATTCTGTCCAAAATTCCAGAAACTGCCCATTTATGGTACACAAACAAAAAGGAGGTGTTGAAACATTTACCAGTGTTTTATGTTTTGACAGTATTAAAATCAGTTAATATCTGTAGGAACGCAACATTCAAATCATCATGTAAATAGTAGGAACTCAAGGCCAAGGCTAGAACCAACTCAAACCAGGAGCTAACACCGCCTGTTTCCTCCACCAGGATTTCAAGTTTGTCCAGTAGTTTATACTGTGGTTTCTCGACCAGCTTTGAGATTGGGTGCTGAGAACTGTCGCCTCATCCGCGGAGGTGTCACAAACTGGCTACAGTGGTTGGGTTTGTCCGTCTGCCTCTGATAGGAACTGGCTGCACTGGCCTCTAGCTGACCTCCAGTGTTATAATTACAGTAAGACTGACGGTGTTGATGAATATGGCGCTTGGTATGAAAAGTCTGCAGATCAGTGCTGGGGTGACCACTGTGGGTGTTTAACGATTCTGACGAGGCCGATGTCTGGCAGCGCACACTCTTCGGTTGGCCGTTGTTGAGAGAATTGCTTCTCCAGCGTATCTGAGGTTGCTGTTGTTGATTATTAATATGTTGCTTGCTAACTTGGATGTGATCTTGACTTCGCGGGCCCTGAGAGCCCCAGGGTAACTGGGGATCCTTGGAAGCTGCTCTACCACCCTTTTCTTGGCTCTCCTCTTTATTTCCTTTCCTTCCCTCTTCATCTTTTGGAATTCTAAGCTCTATAACCTCATCTTCTGTTATGATGATGTGTGTCCCAGGACTCCACGAGTTCCTGTGTTTAGGATTGCTCTTAAAGGGGAACCGGGGCTTCCGATTCTCGGGAGGGATGAACCTGTGAGGTACATTCTGCCGACGAAGCTGCTTTGTTATCTCCTGCTGCTGCAGGTTCTTAAAGCGGATTTGCTCCTGCCTCATCCAGCGCAGCCGTCCACGTCTGAATGCTGGGTCCCCGTTCATCAGCTGGGAAACACGCTCTTCCTTGGCGAGTTCTCCACCGTCTCCTTTACTAACATCATCCTCAGACTTGCTAGTGACACCAGCACCAACAGGTTCCTTTGCTTTGTGGCTTGCTTGGGTTTTCTGTTCCTGCGATCCAATCAGTGGCAAGACTTTCTCCATTTTGAGCATTTTATTTCTTAAGACTTTTATCTCCTCATCTTTCATGTTATTTTGCTTTTTGACTTCTTGCAAAATATCTTCCAGTTTGTCTATGTGAACCTTGAGATCATCTACATCAGTTCCGCCTTTCCCAGTGGCTATCATGTCTTCAATCTTCTCATCCCCTACACCAACGGTGTCCCACACATCCCTGGCCACTGCCCTCCAGGAGTCCCGCTCATTGGGATCTTTCTTCCCATACATGGCACAAAGCTCTTTCATCTTAACTATGGCCAAGGCCTCGATCTCCTGCCGACTATGCCTAAAATCGTTGAGAGCAACTTCATAGCATATCTCTTTAACAGCCTGAATCTTAAGATCTGAGATGGTGACCCACTTGGAATCTTTACTCAGGCGTCTTCTTTGGGGTATTTGATACATTTTAATTGGTTCTCGTTTCTTTCCACTGCTGGGGAGGCCACATTTTTTAACAATGGTTTGCAACTTGCTGGGAGGTAGCTTTTCTCTCAGAGAAGTAATCAGTTTCCAGCTCTCTTCACAGGACCTCTTGTCAGAATCGTCCCCGCTATCAGAATCCGCGTCCTTTGGAAAAACAAAATCAAAAAATGGCCCCAAAATAACCAAAATTAAAATGTAAAAAATGAAAATCAAATTAAAGAAAAAACAAGCAAAAAAGCCTTAACCAAATTTAAAACCAAAACAAAAGAATCTCTAACAAAACAAAACCCCTAAATGATGAGCAAGTCTATTAATACATATGCATACGTAGATTATTATTAATATAAAGATTTGTTTGATTACTAACACTAATCCAAATTTCTGGCATAAGTGATGAAATCTGCAAGCAAATTTCTTAGGAAGACTGACACAGCGAGTGAGTCTCACTCTAAGGTCATATGAAGTTATTAACAAAATGGTGTGAAAGAACATCTCCACTAGCTCCAGAAAACAAAGTAAAACCTACACCCCACACATGCTAACACCCATGCAGCCACTTCCCCACATTTGCCTTGGTTATTGCTGTTGCTTCTTCCAGAAACTCCTTGCCCATGAGTGAGCACAGATGCCATACAAGATGTGACGAGCAGGCGGATTAACAAAGGTTAGTAAGGCTGTAGGATGCCACGTTTTGTTTAGCTTTACTAAAAAGAGCAGCCCTAGAAAAAAGTTAGAAGATGAGAAAGTAGAAAAAGAAACAAATAGGGATGATGTTAAAAATGCTAAGAATCTCTGCGAGCAGACCATGTGAGGTTCTCATCAACCAAATTGTTTTTCTAGAAGACAAGAGGGTTTTAAAACTAGTCTTTCTGAGAGCACATATTGGGTTTGCTAGTTTCTTGTGTCCTGTCAAACTGATCCATTTCATTTGTACAATTAAAGTTTGTTATCCAGAGAACAAGAAAGCATCAAAAAGGATCCTTGTAGTGCACCTGACATTTTGTTTTTCACACTTAAACCAATAAATACCTCACCTACAAAATGTTAAGAAATAAATTTCCAGAACATAAATTGAGCTAGGCAAATACTTTTATTAAACATCATTTAAAATTCCCCAAGAAATATTTTAATAAATACAACTTAGAGATGTTTTCTATCTATGAAAACCCATGGCAGTTCTAGCTATTTGAGAAATATCACTTTAAATGACAACTCTTCCTATCAACACCCAAAACACAAAGACTATATTCTGTTCATATGAAATAGATCCACTTTAAAATGTTTTTCTCTAACTCTCTGTCTTTCTGGCTATCTTTGCACTATTACCTCTTTTTTAAAAATTTTTTTACTTAGGCCTAAAAACACAGCCTGACTTTGGATAATAACCAACTGGATAACAAACAATTATTCTTAACTAACGACAAGCAAACCTTGATAACATGGATCTAAATAAAAGAAATACTAGAGATTTATAATCCCCTCAAATAAATAGGATTAAGAAAGAATTTCTATTCAGGAAATAAAAGTTCCTGGGAAAAGACACACTCACTAGAATAGTTCAAAATATGTCTAGTAAATGAAAATGTTCTTACTTAATAGTCTCTTTTACTTGGCTGTGATTACCAAAATTATCCCTAGTAAAGTTTTTTTTGTTAATCAAAACTGATCAACAGTATCTTGCTTTCTATACCAAAGATTTCCATGCATAGTTACTTTCTAGGGAACAAAAAATAACTTTTAACAATGACAATAACTTTGTCCCTAAATTTGGAGATGATGCTACTGATTTGTATTATTTCTGTTGGTCTATAATGGGTATTAAGCCAATTTAGAATCCCTACATATTTGAAATTTTAGCAACAAAAAGCAGATAAAGCTAAATTTACAGACTCTACACTATTTTCTTTTCACTTTTATTTTTAAAAAATCAGGATGGCTAATCTTAAGTGACAAAAAGATGACATTAATTAACATTAGAGTAAAAAGTATGCCTGACTCCTAAAAAGGTTTTCTTGCAAATACGTATAAACTGAGTTTTACAAAACACAAACTCTCTGATTCTTCCCACATAGCTGACAACTACGTTTTTTTTTCCTGGTTCTTTTTTTTTTTTAATTGCTTAAGGATAAAGTGAATACTACCTAATCTAGGAAATAACAAATGTTCTAATCATTGTCATGATTGAGAGATAACAGCTATGTCTTTAAACTCCAAAATAAAACATAAATAAGAGAGTCTACATAAATCCAAAAGAACTCAAATTAAATCAAATTACATCAAGTGGCCTAATTTTCTTTCTTTTTTAAATACTGTCATATCGACTCTGTAGAATATGTTCTCCATGTCGCTCAAACATATCCCCATCACATACTGACTGTGATATTAGAAAGTCTGTATGCAAAGTGTATGTGCCAAGATGTAAATCCTATTTCATGTCCACAAAAAGGAAAAATTTTAAGATATTTAGATTCAATTATTACAGGGGTGGAAAAACTGCTTAGGTCTGTCCAATTCACATGTCACTCAAAGATCCTTCTGTTTTCATTAAATACCAAATGCAAAGTGGACCTCCTGCAGAGACTGCAAGAAGCTTCTACAAATAGAAGAGAGAAGATACCCAAAACACATGTGTAAAAAAACAAGCAGAGAAAGGACCAGGCATATAACAGACAACTAACTAGAAGAGAATGTAACAGTGTGACGCATACAGGGAAACTATCATAATAGAAAACTCATGACCCTGAATTCGTTTCTTAATGCTGTCATTATGCAAAAGCGATGACATAATAAATGTTAAAAATATGTACTGAATAATAATTCCTATGTATCCTCTCAATGTTTATTCATAGGGTACATTTGAAACATATCTGTTGGTTGACCAATATAAGATCATAAAAATACATTTTCTATTCACAACATGGAAAAAGATTCCATGTTATTCCTAGATACTCTCCAAACCGAAAGCATTAGAAATCCACTCCTCTTGAGGACAAGAAATTTAAATGGCACAGACAGCTGGACTTATGGGAGGAAAGCAACCTTCTTGCTTTAAGGATCTGCCTAGAAATTCGAGCTCGCTTTGAGATACACCGAGCAAATGACAACCAGAGCCTGAATCCCTGCAGACTGAGTATCTCCCCTGGCAAGATGTATGTCTTAGAGACATTTACTTTATTTTTGTTTAATGGTCATCCTCCTATTTCCAAGCAGGAATGATCACCGGCTCTTGCTTATGGAGGCCACCAGCCATCATTAGTCTTTCCTACCTAGTTACTCAAAGGTTGGTTCCAGGACCCACAGCACGGGCGTCACCTGGGAGCTGGTTAGAAGTGCAGAACCTCCGGTCCCACCCCAGACCTACTCAATCAACACCTGCATTTTGGCACCTGGTTGAGAAGCACTGCTCTACTGAACAGAACAGTGGAGGGAGTCAGAAGACCCATGACTTAATGGTATTTAAGAGTGGGCAAAACAGCATCTATTAGGCTTGGTTTCCTCAGCTTGGAGAAAATATATACTGGAGGAAATATTACTCATTTTATTTACATACACATCTACTAAAGAGGGTTGTTTCAGGAATCCCCCCCTCCCCGCAAAAAAAAAAAATAGATGTTAAAGCTCTCTGTAAATTATAAAGCACTACACAATTACAAGGCACCATTGTTAATAAATACAGCTTAATTATACCTGTGCTTCTTTGATCTCTCACATACCATCAGAGGCATGTTATTAGATTATACTACATTATTAAGATAAAAAAGGATCCTTCATGTGTCACAAACCTTTCAAGCCCCTAATCACATTGTAGCTAAATCTTTCTGGTTTTATTCAAAGCTGTATGCCAACTAGGCCTCCTGAAGAGATTCTATATATAACTGCTATTTTCTTGTCCCAAACACTTGATTTAGTCTTACAATCCATCCTTTCAGGGCTATATTCTAATTTCCAAGATAATCAACTAACGGGTTACCCCACTGCCCAATGTGAGACCTGAGATGCCCTGGCAGAGGCTGCCTGTGCTCAAGGCCTCGGTGTTTCGTTCAGCAATAGCCTTTCTTCCTGAAAGTACAGCATGGTGGTAAGGCTATAGTTTACATGCAGTATCTTATGCTAAGGGAAGAAACCAGGATTCCAGCTTTCTCTCTAATACCCCCTTATCTTAAAAGACGTTCATGAATTTTAAAAATTGGGAAATTCCTAAACTGCGCCCACGGTATCCAAAGGTTTGTTATACCTTTTCCTTACATGTCAAATGAATGCCAAGAAGCTTCTTCTAACCAGGGCTTTGTTAACCCAAACTGGATGGCTTTAAAAATGAAACTCTAACTCACAGATCAATTTATTCATGAGATTCAGTTTCTATCAAACTTGGAAAATCAATTAAACCCTAAAACGCTAAACCATTAGCATTATAAGCTGCGACCTTAAACCAACTTTTCAACTGCTCACCCAAACCCTTCCTCACCCCAGAGGAAGCAGCTCCTATCTGAGCTGGCTGTATAGCCCGGGCTTCCACTGTCAACCCACACGCCACAGAGGCCCTTATGGAAGAATTCAGACTCCATGCAGGGGAACAGAAAAGGATTAACACATGCAACTGTGCAGCAACACTTTTAGACACAGTTTAACTAAAAAACAAAAACAAAAAAGAAAAAGTCTGCCCAGGACAAGAACAACCCCCAGGTCAGCCCAAGAGCAGAGAATTAGTACTATCAGGTGATCAGAAACAAAACCAAGGCAAACACCCATCAGGTTCAATATGCAGAGGGATTATTATTAAAAGAACCACCACTGACGCATACTCAAAAACCACTATCAAGAGGCAAAGGCTGCCAGAAAGGCTCTCACTACTTCCTGAAAAAGCACTTGGTTTTGACAGAAATAAAGATTTGACTTTAAGATATAAAAAGCACACTTCTGGACAGGTTTTCAGGCAAAGGCTACCAGGAGATGGCAGTTCGTTCTCCATTAAGGAAATCAGAGAATAGAGTGTGGTTTTAAGGAGAGCTGAGGAAGCCATGTGGCGAGTGCTCATTGGTGGGACAGGGAAGGGATGAGAGCAAGCTGCCCTTTTCTAATGAGGGTTCAGGATGGACTCCTACCAGTCTCTGCTGCTCCAAGAGAAGATCTGCTTCTTCCTTCTCCTTTTTGTATAGGATCTCCATTTCCTGCAGCCTAAAAGGAAAAGAAAAGCAAGAGAGCAAAATTCCATGAGAAACTCACTGAGCTGTTTCATAAAAGCTACTTATTATATGTTTCAAAGAAGGGACAGTCCCATGGGCCACATCGCATTGAGGCATTACCTTTTCTCCATCTCCTGTTTCATATCGATTCCTTGTTTTTCCAGAAGCTCTCTCTGGGCAAATGTCCAGTCCACAGGCTCAGAGGGGGTCTCAGCAGAAGGAGTCTTCTCCCGCTCAGCCCGTGCTTGCTCCGGGTGGTTAAAACGAAATACATGGTTTTTACCCATGATGATACGGTTTCCTGGCACAAAAACAGAAATAGGGTTAAGAAACCATTTCTGAAATGTATAATGCCTATGTTAATGATCTCACTCCCCTTACTGCAAAAAGACAGCTTTTGGAGTTTTACAAAAACCTAAATCCTAATGCTATCACTTCGGCCTTTAAACAAAGAGTCAAATGTTAGAGTTGCTCACACAAGCCATGTGATCTTTGCCAAAGACGGCAAACCTCTCCCAGGTGAGTCTCACCTGAGCGCAGCTGAACAGGTTGGGCCACCCTCTTGCCATTTACGTAGGTTTCTGAGCGTTCACAGGGCTCCAGCGTCACGATAACTAAGAGGAACGCAAACTAACGTTAGCATCACAAACCGCTGGAATAAAATAACGAAAAGCAGATGGCTATGAGGATTCAGGGTAACTAGAATAGATTCCTGTAACCAAGTGGCTGAGCAGCTATATAATAGTTTTCGGGTACCATCACCAGGGCTGTGGCTAAGATAGAAACATTTACATGAATTTGGTAAACCTCAGAAGATATGAAATGTCAGTTTCGGTGATATCTGACAGTTCAGTCTACAAAATCGGAATCCATCAGAAATCTTAAGCATGAGATGGAGGTCATAACCAGAAACTTAACATTAAAAGCTAACATTTTGATTAAGGAAGGAATGAACTGTACAGCACAAAAATACTGATTGTTGTTTTGTTAATAACCTAGACAAAAATCAAGATCGACTTTTTCTTCCCTTTGAGATAAAAAGAAATTCTACTGTGTTAAGGCTAGAGGGCCTTCAAACCTCTCACTACTCAGGGTATTTGCTCCCTTCTTCCTTGCCTATCAAATAATTAACATTCAAGACCAAGCCTAATTGCCTATGTAAGTCTCAGCTCTTGGCAGTAACAGAAGGGCTCCTTTTGTCCAGGCTATTTTTATGTAAAGTAGCTGTGTGTGTCCCTACATCCATAAGCAGCCCAGGTTTCCCTGTTTTCAAACGTTAGACTGTGTAGGAACGTGTCTCTGAGAGAGGCAGGGCACCCTGTCTTGCGGATGTCTCCCAGCAGGGACTGCAAAGGCTGCTGGGTAAGCTCCCGGGCGCTCTCACCGTCCCCAGTGCTGCTCCTCTCGCTCCGAAAGACACAATGCTCTTCTTTAATGTGTGCTCCGCTCAGCACGATGTCCTGGCGCCGCTCCGCATCGGCCTGGCCAACCCTGTGCACAAGTGACAGCATTTCCCAGGGCAGTCCAGACACAAAAAGCTCTACAAACAATGTCCCTCTTTCTCCCCAAGAATATTCTTTGGTACCTACACAAAAGGTACCACCTTTTTTTAATCAGAGGCTTTTCAACTGCAAATTCTATTTTCATAGATGGTCAACATCAGAATAAGAAACCAAGGAACAATGATATATGAGCAATGTAGCTCATAGCATTATAAAAAGATACGCGTAAACAAATGTCCCTAATGAATTCACGGAAGATGTTAGAAGGAAAAAATTTCACTTAGGGGCTTTTAGGGAAAAACTACATGTTAACTGGTTCAGCTGGCTAAAATGCATAATTTGGGAAGAGTAGAGAAGATATTTCTACAACTATCTTCTAGATGAGAAAAACAGAAAATTGTACCACAAATTTTCAACAAACTTCCCTTTAGTTATTCAATCATCTAAGAGAAAAGAAAACAGTAAGTGACCAAAAGAAACAAATATACCTTGTAATTCCATCTTTGATGTAATAAAGCAGGCATTCGGACATCAGTGGGTCCTCATTGAGGTTAACAAGATGCGGGGTCTGAAATAGGTTATAGATGATCAATTCGGAGCAAGCACCACTGAGAAGGCTATGACAACAACAGGGACCTACAGGAGACCGATGGCTTCTTGGATTATCCACAGTGGCTGGAAAAGGGACTTTTTTATGCCTATTTGCAATTCATAATGAACAGAAAACACTCTCTTCAGGCCCAAACTGCACTAAGCATCCGATTTACAAACTTGAGTTCTAATTCTTGATAAGGTCAAAGCATACAGAACTCAAAAGAAAAATTAGGACAGGCGGATTCTCTGGATGGGTTAATCATAATTTTTGTAAACACTTGGACAAAAATCTTGAAGGGTGGCAGAATACGCTACTCCAAAATAACACTTGGCCGTATTTTTCTGAGCTGTAGGCACTTGAAAAACAGGCAATGCAGGGGAGAGGCTTTCTCTGACCTCACTTTACCTACCTACAGACGACCACTCAAGGAGTCCAGTGCTCATAAATCCCTTCCAGCAGTTTCCCAACCAGGGAAGACTGACTGTTATCACAGGAGAGGAGCCCAGAAGTGGACACCACACCCAGACTTTGTCACAAGCGATCATGCCTCCCATCTGCTCTCCTAAGGGTCCAGTCACCTTCCCTGAAAACCATTTCCTCTCGCCTCCCTCCCCCACCCCTTTCCCTACCAAGATAATATCTAAGTCTGAATTCTAAGCCACCTCAGGAGTTCATTTTCCCTGAGTATCTCCCACGTATACATGAGACAGTCATGTTAATAAACTTTCTGTTTTTCTCTCATTCATCTGTCTTTTATTACAGGGCTCTCAGCCAAGAACTCAGAAGGGTAGTAGGAATTGTTTTTCCTCCCCTACAATCCCAATAAACAATTTTTCATTTACTTTATTATAAAAATTTCCCCACACCCTCATCTCCCTCTGTAATTTTTATCCATGGTCTTCCATGGTCCCAGTTGTTGCCCTTAGTTTATTAATTAGTCTTTACCTTTAAGAAGAAATTAAAATTACTGACATTCAATAATACACGTCTTTTAAAAATCCTCTTCATCTAACTCTAATAATTCTAAAATCTTTTAAAAACCAACCTTCTTTGGTGAAAATACCCCACTGGAATCCAAAAATAAGTCTCAGTCTTTGGGCCAAAATCTACTCAAGATAGTGTCAGCAAATGTAGAAAAATAAAAAAAGAGTCAGATGAGAGGGTTAAGGAAAAAGACTGCAAAAGATGATCAAACACAAATTAGGAAAGCCTCTATGTCTCAGCTAGCATGTGTCTCTGCGGTCTGAGGGCTCTTCTGGTTTGTCACAGTCCTCTTGGGGCAGCGATCTTTAGAGCCCATCATGACACTGGCGTAAGGAAAAGGGAATCCCTGAAACCGGTCCTTTTTTCTTTTCTTGTCTAACAGTATTTTCCCCTCAGTTTTACTGAGGTGTGACTGGCAAAAACTGTATTCATTTAGGGGGGACAATGTGACTTCTTAAAGGTGTGCAATGTGTCAACTTAATATATGTACTGTATGTGGGAATATGATCACCAGGATCAAGTTAACACTCAGAAACAGGTGCTAAAACTGACCTTGCATGTGGTCAGTGGTGTGTATCTCTTCCTTCCCTGAGGAAGTCCAGAAAGTTAAAGCAAGATGAGTAAAATTAAAGTAAAAAAAAAGCTTCAGGAATAGAGATGTCGGTTTGGAATTCTGCGCTGTTTATTTCATAAAACTTATTCAAGTTAGTTCTATTTGGTGTTAAATGCCATATTTTCACAAGCTATTACAAAAAATTTCCCCACAGTTTTTAACACTTAAAGACGTTATAAAATACCTTAAGATATATATTTAGATACATACAGACCACAATCTAAATTCTATCAAGACTGTAACTGCTAAAATCTCTATAATCGCAAGTAATATATCTGAATAAATAATGTCTTACTGAAGGAAAACTATTATACTGTGAAAGACACTGATTTTTGGCAATATAAACATCTAAAATACTTTTATTATTGTTTCAGTCCTACAATATGTATCTAAAATTTCTTTAAATCAACCTTCTTTGTTGAAAATAGCATATCATCATCAGACTCTCATATGAAGATGCTTCAGTCTCCAATAGTCAACTTGAACTCATTTGAAATGAAGGACCATTTATTACTGGTATGAAATATATGCTTTGTACATCAATATATGTTCTATTATCATCATATAAATAAGTACACAAGGGGTGGCTGAGTGGCTCATTGGTTAAGAGTTGGCTTGGCAGTGCAAGCTCTGAGCAGCAAGAGCCACCGGTTCAGATCCCACATGGGGCCAGTGATGCTGTGCCCTCTACAGCTAAGATGGTGAACAACAGCTTGACCTAGAGCTGGGCTTCCGTGAGTCGCCAGCAATGGCGTAGGCTGCAGTGGGGCTACAATGGGCTGCCATAAAGCTACCATTAGTGGCTAGCAGCAGGCGTGAGAAGCCATCCAATGGCCAGCGAGTGACTGCCTCACCCAGAAGAGCACAATGATCACAATACCAACATGGGCCAGTGAAGCGACATCCTCCACAACTAGAGTGAAGAAGAAATAACAGCAACTTGTCTGTTCCCCTTCCCCGATTCCCCAACGCTGTTCCCTTCCCCCAATTCCCCAATAAAATCTTTAATTAAAAAAATAATAAGCACACAAAATGATCACTTGATAATAGTTTCCCAATACCTAAACAACTAAGAAGTAACTTAGTGAAAAAAACAGAACTTTACTATTCTAATTAGCTAAAAAGTATCTTCTACTTCACAACTATGATTTATAAGTAGGAAGGTAACTACTAGAGTCTTTTTCCTCTTAAACTGGGAAAAGCGCAGAGACTGGAAGGATGAGGGCAGGAATTGCTTTGCTCAGTACGATGGATGTCTATAACACAAACTGCAGAAGCAAACTGAAGCGGTATTTTTCTACACAAACCTAAACAACTGAAATTGCTTCCAAAAATTTATAAACCAGGGTTGCTGGCATCTGTGGGAAAATCTACACAGAAAGAGTAGCCAAGCTGAAGCAAGGTATGCTAGGTTAGGCTGGTGATTTAAGAGAAAGCAACAAGGAAGATGATTAAACACATGGAATCATGATCAAAGGTTAGTTTTACTGCCTTAGGTTCTAGTTTGTAAACAGTAAACACGACAGGCCTTTTGGAAGTAGGCTGCCCCTGTACTGTAAGATGAAATCAGAAATATCTGAAATTAATCCAAATCTCAAGATTAAAAAAAAGGGGAGGGGAGCAACCCAGAAAGACACGAAGCACCTCAGTGACTATCGAAACAAAAAGTGTTTCTGTTTGGTTGAGTTTTACAACACTGTTTCCTACCTTTTTAGGTGAGAAAACCCCGAGGGTTCCTCCATCTTCCCGAATGGCTACTCCCATCTCAGCCAACAAGGCCTCTCTAGTAAAAACAACAGTCACATCAGAGTATCAATATCAAAATGTCAATAAAATTAGGATAATATTAACTAAACAATAAAGCATGCAAAGCAAAAACAACTATGTTTACAGTTTGTAATATATATGTGAAAGAATCTGCTTATCCCGTCATTATGAGAAATTATTTTTAAGACAAATAGCACAATGAAAATAAATTATGTTCCTACGTTAGGTAAAGGTATATTCACCCAAATAAGAACTGTCTCATCTGACTTTGGAGGCAGACAATAATTCATGAATAATATGAATATTAATATAAAAAAAGGAACAAAGGGATATTCCTTAAGGCTATACATACAATTCAAAGAACCATTTCTTCAAAATCTAAAAAAGCAATCAGAAAGTAACTTTGAGGGCTGGCCGAGTGTCTCAGTTGGTTAAGAGTTAGTTTAAGAGCGTGAGCTCTGAGCAACAGGGCCACCGGTTCAATTCCCACATGGGACAGTGACCCCTAGCTCAGCTGCCGCTGAGCTGCCAACAGGTGGCAGGATAGCGCAGCTGGTGAGAGCATGTGCTCCTAACAAGATTGCCTGTTCGATGGTGGGCTATGCCCACCCGCAACTAAGACTGAGCTCGGCACCTTAAGCTGAGCTGCTGCCTGGATGGTTCAGTGGATAGAGCGTGCGCTCTTAACAACGAGGCTGCTGGGTTTGACTCCCACATGGGATGGTGGCTACGCTCACCCGCAAATAACAGCACCTTGAACTTAGAGGCCACGAGCTGCCAATGGGAAGCCAGATGGCAACTGGCGCCCTCCACAACGAAGACTGAAGAACAACAACTTGGCTGTTCCCCTCCCCCAATTAAAAAAAATAAAATAAAAATAAACAAAACAAAAATAAAATAAAGTAACTTTGATCTATGGAGTATTGTCTATAAATGTGATTTTCTCAAATGTTATGTTCCCACGCTCAGCACATTGGTTCAACAATCCTAGCTTAAAAGTGCTATAAGAAAATTCTCGAAGATGGATTTGAGGAACTAGTAAGGCTCCCATCTTCTCCATTGGCACCCTCTCGATCAATAAACCTTTCCTTATTCCAAAAAAAAAGGGAAAAAATTCTAATTGTTTGATACATTTACTGTATCAATACATTAGAACTCACTTCTGCCTCGTTTCTATGAAGAGCAAAGACAGAAACTGACATTTTTTCAATGTATAGTCAATCCAATAGCAAAGTATTATTTTGGGTTACATTCACATTCCGGGTAGAGAACTGAGAGGGTGAGTCAGAATAGGACAGCGGTTCTCAAACTTTCACAGGGGTCGCCTAAGACCATCGGAAAACACATATTTTCGATGGTCTTAGGAACTGAGACACCGCTCCTCTATCCGTCTCCAGGCCCACATGCAGATACGCCCACATACGAGTACCCGGCGACCCCTGTGAAAGGGTCGCTCGACCCCCAAAGGGATCGTGACCCACAGGTTGAGAACCGCTGGAATAGGATTTTAAACATTTGCAACTCAAACTACTTCATTCCTTGCCAAAGAGGTTCTAGAAAATTGAAAGATAATCGGAACAGCTTTTTTTTATTTGGGCCTTTATCAAAGGCAGTCTTTTTGCAAATTAAAAACTGTATCCCTCAATATCTTTCATTTTTATATGACCCCTTGCAACATGCAGCACAGTATAATACTGCGGAAGCACCCCGACTCCCCAGAGAACATTTTAAATATACGAATTTCACGTCATCCGACTTGGCCAGAAGTCCCCAGCCAAGTTGATGTTTTGTTTTGTTTTGTGAGGGACATTTCTTTGTTTTTAACTTCTATTTATCCTTTCTTAGCGTAGAAGCCATCCCAATTCCCTGGAAAACTTAGAAACGGCCCCGAGTTTCACTCCTCACCTCTCCATCCTGATGGCCTCTGTTTTACGCAGCTTCTCTTCCCAGGTTTCATTCAACTCGGCAATGATCTTCTCTGACTCCTACGGGAGCAAGCGCACAGTTCAGGTGGCCAAGTCTCACAGTTTAGAAAGGACAGCAAGAAGCAGGTGATGATGCCCTTGGATGCTGTGCGGTGGGTCTAATATGATGAGATTTTTTTTCTTTTGTTTCTATGTAAAGTAAGAATCTAAAGACTAGGCCTAACACTAAATCAATCCTAGATACATTACTTTTCCTAAGTCTTAATAAAAATACCGTGTGTGTGTGTGTGTGTGTGTGTGTGTTTGTTTGTGTGTGTGTGTGTAAGGAAGGGTAATATTAACACCCCAAAACACAAGGTACTATTTCTGACATCCACTTCTACAAAAGAATAAAGACCCCAAAGGTACTCATTGCTTTGTTTCCCTATAACTTTGCCCCAACACTGATGGGGTTCCCCCAAAACGTGGCACCTTGGCACAGTAAATATTTTAAGCTGAGTAACTTGAGAAATGGTAGTGCAGGACGGACTCTGGTCCCCTTCTGACGCAGATCATTAGAGCTTCCCCGGATGTACCTGCAGGGAAGGTGCATCTGTTCACAGATGGAGGAACGCCAAGAGGAATTGGAACAAACAGGCCACGGTAAGTTCCCCCAGTTTCCTACTCTTAGCTCACACCCTTTGTCCTATGCCATTTCACAGCGTTTCATTCTTCATCAAACCTGGCACAAAAATGCTCAGGTTTATCAATTCTTTGGGTCTTCATTTCCTTATGAAAACTCCTGTGTCACGTAAAACTTTTATTAAATAAATTTGTATGCTTTTCTCTTATTAATCTGCTTTTTGTTACAGGGGCCACAGCTGAGCACCTAGAAGGAAAGATATTTTTCCTCCCCTACAATACAATACACCTCTGAACCCAACCTAATGCCCAGTATATAAAGGGTTAGTATTAATCTCATCTGAAAATCTATGTAGCCACTGAAGTGAATTTCCCAATCTCTTGCTGAGTGTTAATTATATACGAAAAACAAAAGAACTAAAACGTGTTTCCTGCCCTCAAGGAGCTTACTGTGCACTTGGGAGAGAGAGAAGGAGCTGGTGATCCATTCATTCAGTAATCACATATAACCCCATTACACGCCAAGCAACCAGGGACATGGCAGGGTACAAAATTCCGGCTTTCATGAGCTGAAAACTACCTGAATGGAATCTACACAGTCCTCTAATAGGGATGATTAATATGCAGGGCATGTGCGACTCCAAAGCTAAGCGAGAACCAATATGCCAGCAATCAAGAAAAACCCATAGAATTCCAGCAGGCAGTGAGACGGCCAGGAAGGAAGTGTGCCAGGTACCAAGCAGTCAATAGTGTGTCAATAAAGAACCACAGAAGTGATTCAACAGCTCATCCAGGACAGTGTTAAATGCTTCTGCCAATGACTATAACAGGGAAAGTGCAGACCAGCTGGCACCATTACCTATATGATATTAAGGCTTATTAAATACAGCTGGGTAGAAACCGTTCCACACTCAAAGTGACAACTTCAAAAATCCAGGAACAGGATAGCATGGCCCTGGCCAAACCAGAGCCCTCGGACTCATGCTCATTAGGCACTGCGTGGCCCACAAGCCCCCAATGGTGGTTACAGACAAACTGACCCCCGAGATACTTCAAATATATGGATTTCCCCAGTTGGCTTTCAGAAACAGACCATGTCAGAGCAGAGGTGTATGCATTTGGCTGTATTACAGCCGTTCTATTTTGGGACAACTGTAAACTCACCCTAAGGAAGCAAAGTTACTGTCCAGGAATCCTCTTAGCGTTTGCTGCCAACCCTAATGGGGCCTCTCTAATTTTATTCACCACCTGGAGGGTAATCAGAATATGACCTCTTGCAGGGAAGAGATTTAATGAGTAAGCTGAGTATGGCACTACTTTATTTTTTATTACAGCTTCAAGTGCAATTTTTATATTGTCTAGAAAGCTATTTTTTTTAAACTCTGAAGAAAGGTTAGAGAAAATGATAGTGAGTGTGCTGGAAAAAGCCTGGGAAACCATTTATCCCAGAGCCATTCTAGGAATAAAGAAACTGAGGACCAGAGAAACTATGCAATTAACCGGAGCCCACACTACTTCCTGAGTCAAGTCTAGTTCCCTAACTCTTAGTGTTTTTTCTTTAAGTAAGGCAGAACCAATAGGCTTTAAAGAAACTATTCTACAAAAAAGCTCGCCATAAATTTAGGGTATTCTTTCTTCAAGCCCGAAAAGCAAACTTAGTATAAATAAAACAGAAGATGCCAACAGAAAGGTAGCTCTCAGTCTCTGAGTCGTCAACTCCTTCTGCAGGCAGGCCTGGCCCACTGGTGTCCAGTGCTGCCCACAACCCACTCTAGAAGCCTAATTTGAGGTGAAATTAAAATGGGGGTTCACGCTTAGAAAATGAGTCGTCAAAGAGACAATCTTTAAAGGGTCCTTCCTTCCTGGAGGTACTATACATAAAAAAATTCCAAAAAGCAGTGACATCAGGGAAAAAAATTTTTTTAAGCTCCAAGGAATGTTGGGCTCAGACGTCACTCAACGTTAGCCTCACATCACATGTCTGGCTATTTGTACAGCACTAATTAATAATTATGTGTATACAGCGAAACAATGTGATCTCTTTGTCATGGTTCAGTTAAGGTGGCAGAGAAATCCACAGAATAAGTCAGAAATATTTCCATGAAAAAAATTACAGTCTAGATTGTGATATTTAAAAAATGAAATGCTTATACGAGTATATGGAACATTCCTTGAAGCCATCAGATGGCCAAGGTTTTACTGTACCGAGCACAGCATGCTTCCTCCGTGAGTTCCAGGGGTGGGGCCCTGGGGCTGCCGAGCACAGCATCTGCCTTTGTGCGCTTCTGTAATGAATCCGTGCGGGTATTTATAGTCAAAGCCTAAGCAATGGCACTCGTAGTACTGACTCTGATGCCAGACTTTATAATAAACACCAGGGCCACCACACAGTCGCTATAGCTACATATTTAAAACCTTAGTGAACAGGAATCCAAATCAAGGATACATACATTTCAACTCAGTTTGAGTTGTGACTAAAACTGAAAGCAATTACATATCACTCTCTTTTGCCAGAGAGATTTGGGGGGGGGGGATGGCCCTCAAGATATTTATGATGGGGTAACATAGGTCTCTTGCAGGTTAGTCTATATGAAAATAGACTAGTCAATGAACAAAGCAGTAGCAACACCCTGGGTAAAAGCATTCTAGCAATGGATCATTTTTTAAAGTCAAAGTAAAGAGAAGCAAAGAGACAGTAAATGGTAGGAAAATGAGTTGACCTCCTGTTACTTTTTCCGTTACAGCGTTTTCCTCCTTCAGTGTCATGTCTTAGGAATGCAGCTCCTTCACACTCAGCAATGAAATAATCCAAAACTGTGCGATTCTCAAGCGCTTCTATCAACAACCACTGCCTTACACTGCGGATGCAAAACGCTGTCGGCCTGCAGCATTAAAATGCAGGTCTGCCAGGGTGGAATTCTCACCATTCACAAAATAAGAGCGGAACTAAAGCGCTTACGCTCCAGTGAACTACCACGCTGCATTAAAAACTCAAGAGTTTTTAAAACCACAACGAAGCTACTTCCGAAAGCGAGGGAACAGAAGAGCTCATGTATGCTGGCTTAGAGGAGAATCAGACCTGAAATTTATTCTCTGATGAAAGTAACAGTTTTGTTTGGCTTTGGGTGGGAAGCAGGGAGGCTGGGGGGAGGGTTCCCTGAATAACGGCAGTGTTATTCCCTTGAAACTATCTGGAAGACACTGGATGACCTAATTCTTACAGAGTCTGGTTAATGTCTTGACTCCCAACATTCAACATTATTTTCAGTGGGTCCCACTTGGCAGTTAAGAAGAATTTTCTCTTTTACACCAAGATGTATGTTAAAGGAAAGTGTAATCACATTTGTACAGTAAGGCTTTAATAAGCAAACAGTAGATTCGAAAGCCCCAAAGAAAAAGAACATTTCCCATTAAATCATAAGTGGGCGAGTTCCCCTCTCCTTCCCACCGCGCCCCTGCGCTTCCCACTGGCCTGAACAGAACGGCACGGACGCCTGTCGTGATAACATACATGAACAGGCCTCCCTGCACAGGGCTGCATTCAAGTCCTCAGGAAAGTCTCAACGTCAACCTTACAACAGCAGAGACTACCCTGCAATTTGCAGTGTGAGAAGATTTCTCACTCCTCCGTTTGAAGGTATTTCAGAACTTCACCCACTTTCCACTAACATGTTCTGAAGGAAGGAACAAGATCATTACTTTTCTTTCCAAAGCACCTTACTTTCAAAGTGAGTCAAGTGCCAGGGGAAAAAGTGGGCTAAGAAGCAGAAGCCCATTTTTCACACAAAATCTTTTTCAGCCTCACCTGAAAACCAAAATGAAAGTATCTGCCATTTTCAATTATCAAGCTTAACTCCCTTTTAGTGGTGAGAAGTCTCAGCAAACCCTTTCAATCGTTAATTTGTCAAAGTGTCATTGTTCTCAGCAGTCCCTGAATGAGTGGCTGTTATGAGAACACTGGCAGCTGGCAGCACAGCATGACTGCATCGTCCCAGCTCCTTAGCAGTTTCATTGCCCTCCTTGCAGTCCCTCCCTTGCACTCTTGAATACAAAGGCCAAAAGATAGGGTCAAACCATCCTCCTGGAGGTGACAAGAAGGGAAAAAAGCATCTGTGGTGCTCTTATAGTAACTTGATGGATGGCAGCACAGATGACAACGGTCTGCTCTCAGTGTAGTCAGAGGCTAAGCGGCTCCTGACTTTCATATTCGTGGAGAGAGACCAGAAAGTACCTGACCGAGCCAGTGACCCGAGCCAGCAACTGGCGGGGAAAGCGAAGCAGGAGACCATGGCAGGTGACCCACACATGCAGGACTCAAGCCTGCAGCACTGAGGCCTGTGTCCCCAGGTGCACTAACACAGGAGGGGACAGACCTTCCACGGCAGTGATCACAGGGACCCAGGCTTTTTCTGGACTCCCAGAAGACATCAATCACTTCATGTGTATCGGAATAAGCCTGGTATAGCTCTTCAAATGTTCAAACTCTCGTTTGGCTGTATATTTATTTTACTAAGTAAATGCATGGCTATATACAAAATTCCATCTTCCAACGAAACCAAATGTTTTCAACTAAATTTCTAACTAAACAATTTCACTGTGTCTTACAACTACCTCTGCGTTAATAGACATACCTACTTATGAGTTATTTTGCATCATCAACCTGTGATCTGCCCATGTATCACTCTCACTTTGCCTGGCCACGTCAGACTCAAGCATTCCGGTGAAAAGAAATTAATTACCTTATAAAGCAGCAAATTCCATTTTCAGGATATCTCTAAAAGTCAAAAACTTCTTCCATATGCTGAACCAAAACCTCCATGACTTTCAGTCCTAATTCTGCCTTGTGGAACTACACAGAATATCTTTCATTCAAGTCTGAATTACTACTTACCTTCAGACGTTCAATGGCTTCCTCTCCTCCAGGTGTAGACATGATCCTCTCCTGAATGCTGCTCACAGATGTTAAGCCCACCTGACTATTGAGTGAGCAGGAAGATGAAGATGAAGTAAGGGACCCCATGGATGCTGTGGAAAAATTGCCAGGGCGTTGATTCTCAGAGGCTAGCAAGTACCTATGCTTATTGTTCTGAAAATCTTTCAGATCTGGGAGACAGAAAGAAAGGAAGGCAGAAAAAGTGGAAAACAGGGAAAGGAGCAGAGGAAGAAAAAAGACAGGAAGGAACACCAGTGTAAGAAAGGAAAGCATTAAAGCGCCAAGGCAAAGACATGTTATAATACAAAGACAAGTTGTAATTGTTCTAGATGGCAGTTCTAAAACATGTCTGTCTTTAATACTGGTATCCTAGAGGCTAATTTAGAAACTCAAAAAGTCCAGCGCAGGTTAACGTTGTATCTGGTAGGGGAAACCAGGCTCCCAAGGACAGTACTTAGGCATTGTCCCTAGCTGCTACATTCCTTTTATGGCTCCACATCCATATTGCCTTCGATTCACATGACTCTTAAAGCCCAGCAGTTTGTAACAGTAAGGGAAAAAAGACAATCACGTATTTATCAATAATAATACATAGAGCAGCCTGGGCCAGCGTTTTATGGCATTTAGCAAAAATTCCCAAGAAAATTTTATAAACAAAACTCTGAAACCTTAGTAGTATCTTTGTACAGCAACATTTCAATATGCTAAAAATAATTTTTTTAATACAAATTTTTTTAAAAAAGGAGAGCTAACTTTAGAAATGACGGGAATTTTGTATAAGTCCTGGTTAAGAGCACAGGGCCGACTGATTGCCTCAACAGTGAAGAACAATTAGCAAATTAATGAATCTGGTGTAATTTACATTCATCTATTAGAGCATGCAAAACTTAAAGCTGAATATTTGCTAATTTAAGTAAGGCTCTTACTTTTCCTAACAGTATGAACATGAGTTATTGGTAACCCAAGTTCCTGGTATGAAATGCAAATTTTAGGGACATATTTTCATTTACTAAGGTCTTTAACAGAGCTGTAGATTTTGCTTTTAAACTTAGTTTTGGTAAAAAGAGCCACAAACAACAAAATTCATTAATTTACTGTTTGTACTTTCCTTCATTAGTCGTCCTTCTCAAATAGACACCAGAGGAAAACCATAGGTATTGGTACATTCCCATTTTAAAATTTGCTCAGTTTTAAATTTGAGAGAATCTACATTGCTTAAAACTCCTATCAAAATTAAGTTTTCCTGAAAGGACATCAGTCAATACAAAGTCAGACAAAATATTGATAGCTCTCTCTGGGTCTACTCATCTCCACTTAATCAAAGCCAGTTCTTGAAGCTCCTTAAAACTAGTGGTTGCTTCAAGACAGTTTGAAAACCACCATCTGCAAATATAGAACATAGGACAACAAGCAAGTTTTAAAAGGCAGATAGGGACTGGAGCAAAAAATTAGCCATCAGGTGATAGCAGCAAGGTGGGAAGGAACAGGAACGATGGGGTTAGAAGGTCCAATTGACACATGCAAACCCTAACAGGAATTAAGAGGAGACCGAAATGGAAATTCAGCAGTGGTCAGAGCTGCGTTCCCGCACAGATACAGAACTGAAACTGAGGTCATGCAGAGCTTTTTGGGCAATGCCACAGCTGCTCAGAAAATATTAGAGTGAGGCAACAAGCTGGCAGCAGCACCACCTGGAGCACAGAAGCAAGAACAAGATGGCGGCTTTCCCATACCAGTGTTGGTCAGCTTTGGAAATCTCAGACAGAGCCGTTCCAGTTCAAGAGTCACTCTGAATTAGAACGTTCTAGTGTCTTTCAGCCTAATTTCATCACAGCAGCCAGGGCTACATTTGGTTTCTCCTATGTCTTTCCTCACTCTCTGTCAAGCCTTATTAAATGAACAAATCAATAAAAATATAACCCCTCCCCCACAAAGATTCTTCATTTCTTCTAAGATAACAATTCCTTGATGAATTATCTTGAAAGGGCAAGAAATTATTTCCTCATCAACTTAGTGATGTATATGGAGAGAATAATGTGTGATTCTTTACAAAATGTCCTCACTTCGAGCACAAGTTTTAGACAAATTTTTAAAAATTTATTTGTAATTCATGAAAAGGGGGAAAAAATGTTTCACTATCAAGTAAGCTGAGGCCCAAGACACGGAGGAAGCCAGCTGAGCATAATAGGCAGAGGGGAGTGCTGGTCCAGCCTTCACAGAGCTACTCAGTCACACAGTTGCACCAACTGGAAGTGATTATTTAAGATTATATATACACTAAGAATCAGAATTACATAGCTAATTAAAAAGGATTTTTCTATTAAACTATCACACTCTGAAGCATCTCATGAAGCCAAAAAAGGTGTAATAGTGACTAAAAGCTAGGGCTCTGTGTTACACTGCCCAATCTGACCACACACAAGCCATGGAATCTCAGTGGCCAACTAACTACTCCAGGTAGCGGTGTCCTCACTGGTAAATGGGCATGATTGACACTTTTCCAGAGTCATTGACAAGATTAAATGAGACAATATTATATTCACAGTACTAGAACAGGGCCTGGCACATTATAAACACTCAATAAATGTGAGCTGTTGTCATCGCTATCATTAACATCTCTGACTTTGGAGTCAGTTTAATCAAATAAGTCAAAAAACTAAAGAGTAGAGGAAGCATGAGAGTCTTAAGCCTCTCAACTTTATTCAAGCCATAAACTGAAATCCAGCAAAGGGTGTTTTGCTAAATGGAGAAGGGCAAAAATAGGATCGTTTCTGAATCTACACTCAGTATGCTCTGTCTGGGATTTCCCTGTTAGAACTGCTGGCATGCAAAGCTCATCTGAAGGCTAGTCCAGCAGAGGCAGATTAGCAGATCAGAGTACTGGAAATAACCAATACATGAAATACACACATTTGCCTCCATTTCCAGAGTAATCATCGATCAATGGATCAACTGAAGGTAAGCAGGAGGGAAAATACAAGAAGGGTCAAAGTTCAGGTTCAGCAGTAACACAGAGAGGGAACAGAGCAGTATTTTGGCATTTGGGAAGATGAAAAAATTAACACTTAGACTACATTATCATTTTACAAACTGTATTCATCTAAAATCAAGTGCTAATCAGTAAGACAAACTAAACCAGAAAACCAGATGAGGCCTTGGAAATCTTATTAGATTTCCAAACAGTATAATATTAATGTTACACTAGAAAAACGAAAATATGCTGTATTAAATAAAGTCATATACTACTCTACCTGAATAACCTAGTTAACTCAATTAAGCAAACTTCTGATTAGATGTTATGCAGACAGATCACTAAGGGTCAAGAATCAGATTCATTTTTAAGATAACACTATAAAACAATATATTCTGGAAGTCCAATTCTTGCACTTAGAGGAACTGGATCTTCTTTCCTTCATGTTCACAGGAACGGAGTGGGGAGCGTTCGCACATCTATCACTGCTACTACATTAATCCAGAGGAACCCACAGCACAAAACCAAAAATTTCAAGCAACATTTTTATGAAGTGAGTCATTTCTCAGTGAGAATAAGTTTAACATTCCAAATAAATGTTACTGCTGATCTAAAATAGAAATCCAATAAAAATCCAAGTAGTGACATATTAAAGAAAAACTAATTTCATGAGTTCAAATGGATAACCTGGTACATACATACAAAATTCTGGGATCATTTTCATTGGGTTTTTTAAGAAGAAAAACCCCAAAAAACTCTTTCTCTACCATCTAGCCTCATCAATTTCCTTAAATTAAATCTAAGCTTATGTCTAAGAAGCCTGCAGAAGAAAGGATTAGATTTTGTGTTGATCTTTGATTTACTTACTATCTATGATATCTCCCAGTCCCTGAGCACGAAGAAGGTCCTTCAGCCGTGTCACCTCCTCCTTTAATTCCCGGACAAGCTTGGCATTGGGGTCCTCATTGATAACGGCATTGCATTTAATTTGTTTTGCACGATCTGCATATCTGGATCCAAAAAGAAAATTCATTTTTGCCATTCCTCACATGCTCTACTTCTCATAAGTAACATACCATTATTTCTAAATCAAACAGTTTGAGTATTTACTTACACATTTTATGAGCCCTAATAACAATACATTTGTGTCAAGTTTTACAGTACCTTATAAAAATGAGGAAAAAGGCTCAGGTAAATTTAAGTGATTCACCCAAAATCACAAAGGAAATAAATACCAGAGAAAGGACTCAAAACTGATTTGTCAGACTATATCGTGTTCCTTTCATTATATCAAAAGTGTCTTTCATGGGAGAAGAGTAGAAAGTTCGAAATTAAAATATTCATATATATAAATATTCTATTAGTAAACAGTCTGTCACTGATTTTTTTAAATGCTACATGTACTCATAATTGTATTACTTTTTACGACCTCAGTCTTTCCATAATGACAAACACCACAAGGGACGCTTCTTTTTATAGAAATATTATAAGAAACTTTCACTATTATCTAAGTTATCAAAAAATCTCACTTGAACAGTTTTAATACTTTTTCTATGAAAAAGCTTTTGCCTTTCCAAATGAAACTGAAAACCATAAACAGGTAAATTCTATTATAATAAGAATCCTCCTCCCCATGTTTTCCCTCTTATGAGCAGGCTGGATCAGTATAGACATAAATGATTACCCATACAGCGTAAGAAAACCCATGGCCTAACAAAATGACTTATCATGGCACTCTGTTCTATGTAGCTATTGGGATCAAACTGGAATACCTCAGAGTGCTCAAAGTTTCATCATAGTTGATATCTGCTGGGCTCAGAGCAGCAACCATTGCAGTCCGAGAATTGCCACCTAAAAAGATTAATTATGATTACCTCAAATCATACTCAGTGTAGAAAGAATTTTACTGAATGTGTCAAATCAGACAGCACAACCTCAGATCCTAAGATTTAATCAGAGTCAACAAATTTTTCGAATATCCCATGCCAGGCATAGTTATATTCAAATCTTGGTGTCTGGATGTACTGTACAGTTTCCTTCTTCCCACTCCAATCAGACCTCAGCCATTTCACCAAAGCCGCTCTCAGCGATGGGAAAGTCGCTGGGAGCATGGACAGTCCAATGGGCCATTCCCAGCCTCTTCTTTCTATCAGCAGTATTTGACACAGCTGATCACTCCCTCCTTCTCATGGAAAAGGAGGGAAAAGGGCTAAAAAAAACCAGTGAATGAAAGGAAGTGACCAGAAGGTCCGAAAAATCAGCAAAAATGAGTACGTATTAGTAACGTCTGATTATGTCCACCTCAAGGGAGCATGGAGTTTTCAAAGAGGAAGAAGGAGCAATAGTTGGAAGCAGGCGAGTGGTCAGGAAGACAACTACTCCACAGTCAGCGACACATGGGAGAAAACCCTGATTTAAACAAAGATGAGCAAATCCAACCAGCTTAAACCAAAAAGATATTACACACCAGCGGTCAACATACCTAGATTTTCTCGAAGGAGCCAAGTAAGTACAGAATCCCTGTAAGGAATAAAATCAGTTTTCTTCTTCTTCTTACTCTATTAAACAGAAAGAAATGAGTCTTAGCGTTGTTAAGGAGGAAAAAATTCACATGAAAGGCAAGCCAGTCTAAAATCCCCAAGTAAATTAAATTACAGTAGAACCCATCACTGTTGAAATTTAACACTCACAGCTTCAATTCTTCACAACACCCAATGCTCATGCAATAAAGTAAATTTTTTTCATTTTATTTTGAAAAATTTATAACATACACAACAGTTCAAAAAGTAAAATGAGCTATCATATATCCATCACGCAGCTCCAACCGTTATCAATATTTTACCAATCGTGTTTCAATTATCCCTCAACCACTTTTCTACGCTTTTTTTTTTTTTTTAAGATTTTATTGGGGAATCGGGGGAGGGGAACAGTGCTGGGGAATCAGGGGAAGGGGAACAGACAAGTTGCTGTCGTTTTGTTTTTCAGTCTAGTTATGGAGGACGTTGCTTTACTGGCCCAAGTTGGCACCATCATTGC